CCCGACCCGGCCTGGCCTGTTGACAATGTGAATATTCATATTGACATGTTAACATTCATATTGATAAGAGTATAAAATTGGCTAGTGGCCTAGGGCGGGCCCGACCCGGCCTGTTGACAATGTGAATATTCACATTGACATGTTAACATTCACATTGATATGAGTATAAAATTGGCCAGCGGCCCAGGGCGGGCCCGAACCAGCCCGTTGACAATGTGAATATTCACATTGACATGTTAACATTCACATTGATAGGAGTATAAAATTGGTCAACGGCCCAGGGTGGGCCTATTCATATTGAATGTTAACATTCACATTGATAAGAGTATAAAATTGACCAGCGGCCCAAGGCGGGCCCGACCCGGCCCGTTGACAATGTGAATATTCACATTGACATGTTAACATTCACATTGATAGGGGTGTAAAATTAGTCCGCGCCTCGTGGCTGCCCGAAACTTGCCCATGGGCAGCCCCGGCCCGGGGCTGGCTCGGCCCGGCCTGGCCTATTGACAATGTGAATATTCACATTGACATGTTAACATTCACATTGAAAAGAGTATAAAATTGGCCCGCGGCCCATGAGCGGCCAAAAGCTCGCCCATCGCCCGGGGCGGGCCCGGCCCGTTGACAATGTGAATATTCACATTAACTTGTTAACATTTACATTGATAGGAGTGTAAAATTAGCCCGCGCCTCGTGGCTGCCCGAAATTCGCCCATGGCCCATGGACGGGCCCGGGGCAGGCTCGGCCCGGCCTGGCCTATTGACAATGTGAATACTCACATTGACATTTTAACATTCACATTGATAAGAGTATAAAATTGGCCAGCGGCCTAGGGCAGGCCCGACCCGGCCTGTTGACAATGTGAATATTCACATTGACATGTTAACATTTACATTTGTAAGAGTGTAAAATTGGCCCGCAGCCCATGGACGGCCCGAAGCCCGACCGCAGCTCGAGGCGGGCTTGGCCCTACCCGTGACAATGTGAATATTCACATTGACATGTTAACATTAACATTGATAAGAGTGTAAAATTTGTCTGCTGTCCGGAGCTTGCCCGCGGCCTGGGGTAGGTCCGGCCCGGCCCGTTGACAATGTGAATATTCACATTGACATGTTAAAATGCACATCGATAGGAATGTAGAATTGGCTCGCGGCTCGTGGGCTGCTCGAAGCCCGCCCACGGTCCGGGGCAGACTCGTTTCGGTCTGGACCCGAGCATGTCCGAGACCCTAGGTTAGGGCCTAGGTCATCACTTTGAAGCCCGGCCTGGTCTATCGGCCCCCTTATGGCCCATTCAAGGCTCGGTCCGAGGCCCAGCCCGCTCGAGGCATAATGTATTTTTTTGTGAAAAATAATAAAATTTTGGTAGAAAAAATTAAAAAGAATTTAAAAAAAAATGACCAGGCCCACCCAAGCCCGACCTAAGCTCGAGGCTAGGCCCAGGCCCACCTGCCCGACCCGAGGCTCGATCCATCGGCCTGTCCAAAGCCCAAATACCCTTGTGCCAGGGGTAGGGCCTGGGCCTAATTTTTTGGCCCGTGGGCCGGTCCGACCCGGCCCGGGAAAGGCTCGTTTGGGCCCAGGCTCGAGCCTAGTCTGAGACCTTAGGCTAGGCCTGGGCCATCACTTTGAAACCCGGCCCAACCCGTCGACCCCGTTAAGGCCCATTCAAGGCTCGGTCCGAGACCTGGCCTGCGCCGAGGCCTAGTGTCTTTTTTTGTGGAAAATAATAAAATTTTGGTAGAAAAAATTAAAAAGAACTAAAAAAAAATGGCCAGGCCCGCCCCGGGCCATGGCCAGGTTTCGGGCAGCCACGAGGCACGGGCTAATTTTACACTCATATCAATGTGAATATTAACATGTCAATGTGAATATTCACATTGTCAACGGGCCGGGCCGAGCCCGCCCTGGGTTGCTAGCCAATTTTATACTCTTATCAATGTGAATGTTAACATGTCAATATGAATATTCACATTGTCAACAAGCCGGGCCGGGCCTGCCCCGGGCCGTCCATGGGTCGTGGGCGGGTTTCTGGCAGCCACGAGACGCGGGCTAATTTTACACTCCTATCAATGTGAATGTTAACATGTCAATGTGAATATTCAAATTGTCAACGGGCCGGGCCCGGGCCGTGGGTGGGCTTTTAGCTGCCCATGGGCCACGGGCCAATTTTATACTCTTATCAATGTGAATGTTAACATGTCAATGTGAATATTCACATTGTCAATGGGTCGGACCGGGCCCGCCCCAGGCCGCGAGCGGGTTTCGCGTCGCCACGGGACGCGGACCAATTTTACACTCCTATTAATGTGAATGTTAACATGTCAATGTGAATATTCACATTGTCAATGGCCCGGCCCGCCCCGGCCCAACTCGAATTTTTCCGGGCACCCACGAGGATCGACATGGGTCGGGCCCCTACACATTGACGATATGAACATTCACATTGACGGTGTGAACATTCACATTACGGGTATTTTGGTAATTATGTCACCCATAGGACTTATAAAAACACAAGAAAATAATGTGAACTAAATGGAACATAAGTAGATGAAAAGGGTATTTTAGACTTCTTATCTCAAATAAGACCTAATGGAATAGTCAAAAAGAATATGGGTTGGATGGAATGAAACTCTTAGAAAGTGGATTTATTAAAAAAAGCTCCCTTTAACTTTTGATATAAATTACAATTTTTTTTTTATTTTTTAAATAAATTTTAGACTTTTAAATTAAATTAAACACGTACCAAACGAGGCCAAAGGATTTGCCTCCCCAACCCCTCTCTCTCTCTCTGTGTGTTCATCTACCCACGTCTGCCTTCCCACCTCAGCTCCGATTCATACCACTAAAACATGAGCACTAGAAGCAGCTCTAATTACGTGGCATCCAAGAAGGGAGGAAAAATGACACTTTCATATTACAGTGCGTGTGTTTCATGCACTGTGAAAAGAAAAAAAAAAAATCCCACTCAAAAATCTGATAACAGAGGAGAAGAAATCGTGTTTCAACTCTATTCCCGCTGAAGCTGTGATCGGCGTCCCTCTCCTCCACCGTGTAAATTGTAAGGGGGTTTCTACCGCCGTCCCTCTCCTCCACCGTCAAGCGTTCATTCGCTATCTCCGTTTGTAGATTTCGTGTCCCTCTCTGTTTTCCCTCTCTTGGTCAAGCATTTGCAGATCTCTCCCTTTCCCTCGTTCAGGTCAGTTTCTGTCCGATTGTCATCCCTCTCCTCCACCATTTAAATTGTAGTTGTATTCTGTAATGAAATATATATATATATATATATAAACATACATTGAAGAGATTTTTATAATCTGTTAAACATACATATATATATATATATATCAGATTATAACATACATATATATAACAGATTATAACATACATATAATTTGTTATTGAAAGGATAACTGGTAACTGGTAAACATACATATATAATCTGTTATAACATACATATATATATATATATATAACAGATTAGAACATACATAAATTGTTATAGTCTGTTAATTTTTGAAAGGGTAATATGTAATAATCTATTGTTAATTTTTAAATAATCTATTGTAATGAAACATACAAGAGCTTGCATCATTGAAAGGGTAACTGGTATAATTTGTTATTGAAAAGGTAACTGGTAATGAAATAGGTTATTCTATTATTCTATTAAACAGGTTATTCTATTAATCAATTAAATCATTGATTTCATATGATATTTTTGAATGAGCAGAAATGGAGATTGGTTCGAATAGTGGTGACTTCTTTTTGCATGAGCAGAAATGGAGCGCAACCCTCTTCTTTTGCTGACTTCAATGTACAAATGGACGGAAATGAGTCTCGTTTTCATTAGTTGGAAACTTGTAATTTTAACTTGGAGTTTATTTTGTGGTTGGAGCAATTTAATGTTGCTTTGTTGTTTTATTTGATGGAGCAAAATTTATGAAATTTGTAGAAATTTGATATTGTTTTGTTGTTATATGCTATCTTACTCTATACAGAAATGGATTTAATATGATAAAAAATCAGTTACAAATCTGTTGCAGATTTAATGTGTTACAAAATCTATGTTCCAAAAACTTTTTCAATATCTGTGTGAAAAAATCTGTCTTCAAAAAGCTGTGTTGAAAAATCTGTGTTAAAAAAACTGTCCTCAAAACTGTGTTCAAAAAATGTCTTCAAATCTGTTTGCAAAAAACCGTGAAAAAATCCGTTGCAGAAAACTGTGCTCAAAAACCTCTGTGAAAAAATTTGTCTTCAAAGCTGTGTTAAAAAACATGTGTGAAAAAATCTATCTGCAAAAACCTGTGTGATAAAATCTGTCTTCAAAACTGAGTTCAAAAACCTGTGTAAAACACCAGTCTTCAAAAACCTGTGTCAAAAAACATGTTGCAAAAAACTGTTCAAAAACCTATGTGAAAAAATCTGTCTTCAAAACTGTGTTGAAAAAATCTGTCTTCAAAACTGTGTTGAAAAAATCTGTCTCATAAAATCTATCTTCAAAATTGTGTTCAAAAACCTGTGTAAAAAATTCTGTCTTCAAAAACCTGTATGAAAAAATCTGTTGCAGAAAACTGTGTTCAAAAACCTGTGTGAAAAAATCTGTCTTCAAAACTGTGTTAAAAAAATCTATCTTCCAATCTACCTCTAAAAACCTGTGTAAAAAAATCTGTCTTCAAAACTGTGCTAAAAAACCTGAGGGAAAAAATTTTTCTTCAAAAACCTGTGTGAAAAAATCTGTCTTGAAAAAGCTATGTTCAACATATCTCTTCAAAATCTGTGTTGAAAAACTAGTGCTCAAATTCTGTGTTTAAAATATCTATGCAGAAAACTGTGTTAGAAAACCTGTGCAATCATTCTTCAAACAAACACACATACAACAACCTATGTCAAAAAATTCTTCAAACAAACAAGCATTCGTTAAACATGTAACAACCTGTGTTGAAGCATTCCTCAAACATATAACGTGTGTTGAAGCATTCCTCAAACAAACAAACATATAACAACCCGTGTTCAAGCATTCCTCAAACAAACAAACATAATTTTAACAATCCGTGTTCAAGCATTCTTCAAACAAACAAGCAAACAGATAACAGATTACATGTTCGTACTCCTCCAAAATAACTGTCATCTATCATAAATCTTCATACATATCATCTATTTCAACTTCTAACCGTTATTTAAATTATTACATATTCGTAACTAATACAACAACAATTACAAGGAATAAAAAGATCCCATAAATGCAACACCAACTTCGATTTAAGTCTGTCTGCAATTTTTGCATCTGCGTGCTTTGAATTTGAAGTTGTTCGCTTTGAAATTGCAGGTGTTCACCCATACTTTGAAGTTGTTTGGTGACGGTTGGTATGCTGTCCATTTGCACTTGTTCTTCAAATGATCTGAGGTACTGCCGCTAGCACTTGAAGTTGACATCTACAAAAATATGAAGCCAAATCTCAATCAGTTAGTGTATTAGTCTGAGAACTGTTTAAAAAGTAGGAAAGGTTTGAATTAAATGGAAGCAAACAAGAGCAACACTTTGGTATTATACCATCACAACATGAACAACAAATGGTTTCTAATACTATACCAACATCAACAAAAGCAAAATAACTCAGTTCAAATAGCAGAATATTAAACATCTGATATTATACCATCATGATAACTAGCAGCCTGACTAATGAAGTTTGAATTACCAAGATTGGTTACATATAATAACTTAAAGTACTGGTTACATATAATGAGAATATAAAACTTGGCTGCCAAGATTGGTTATTTGCCATGGGACATCTGATTCAAATTCTAGTATCATTTAGATGTTATCATTCTAATATTCATTGTTCTACAGGTAGTTATTTCACCAAATTCTAATAAGGCAAGGATGTTTATTTCACACAGACGTAGTTGTTACTTTATCAGGGCAACTAGACAAGCATCACCTGAAATTTAGATATCATCAAATAATCTTACAACCAGAAGTAAAAAGTTCCACAAAAATAATGCCATTATGCAACTGTTTGAAAGCACAAGCATATCAATTAGCCAATCTCTTCAGTCGTGATACATGCCTGTTGACAAAGAATATATCCATTTAACTAATTAGAATAAAATATAGCTAATCAAAGAAATAGATCAACCTTCCTAATAACACAAAAGTTTACAAAGAACTTCATCATGGCACATTAAACGCTTGAAAATTTAGCAACAAAAAATAATAATAATGACAAAATCCATTTTACCCTATGGACCCGGAGCACTAATAGCTCCACCACATTTAAGAATAGCCAATTTGCCCTCACACAGTTTTGGACTAAAGTGCTACCTTAACTCTATTTACATAAATATAAAAAGATGTTAATAACCTTGTCGTCGTCTTCTTTTTCTAATTCTTCATTGCCAAAAAACAAAACAAAACAAAACAAAACAAAACATAGATTTGAATGTTGCATAGCCACCAGCAGGTGTGGCTTTAGAAAACCAGATTCTTCTTTTTTGGACATTAAACAAAAGGAGAACATATTCATTACCCAAAATCCATAGCCTCTATCTTTTTATAGAATTACTTCTTTGAACTAAAAATGAGATACATTAATGGCAGCAGCTGATGGAGAATCCCCACAATAGAACGTACCACCAAGGAAAAAGAAAGTGATGTCAAACAGCCAACAAAAGAAAATAAAAGTACAAGCAAATAAAGGTCACATCAAAAGAAAATGAAAGAAACCATAAAATTCTTTGATCTTAGTATCAAAACTCAACTCAATTTCATATGATGGTCTGAATAATTCTGTTACACAATGACCTATAATAAACATCCAAGAAAACCTTAATAAACAAGGAAGACTACAACTTATAAACAAGGAATGAAAAGGATGAAACCAAGGTCATCCTCTAATATATTTTCACCTTGTGGTTAGATGTTTCCAATTCATTTAAGGTGAGAGTTTCATCTTTAGTATCAGAAAATAAACTTTATCATTGATCTGAATTTTTTTTTTCCAACTTATATTAAATTGTTAATTCTCCTTCAACATTAGAAAATTAATGTAAAAAACGCAAAAGAACTTGCATGAAAGATGCTTATTATGTGCATATCAACAAATTCAAAAGTATATTTAGTTTCTCCTTCATAGAATCATGAGAACTACAGTCTCTCCAATAAACTCAAGTGCCCAAAGATTTCAATACAACACATAATGACTCTAACCCATCAATCCAAAAACGAGGTAACCCATTAGAAACAAACTTTGAACTGTTCTTTTTCCTCCAAACAAACTGACTCCAATTGAAATGTGTTGTGAATTTTTTTTCAATTAAAGTTGATGGATTTGACAAACCTTAGGGTCACTGTTCTCTCAATAAGTTGCATAGAAAATTTATTTCTATGGACCACACAAAATTTATTTCTATAATTAATTATGCATGTTGTCAACTTGTCATATGCGCCATTGTCAAATTGGTTTTTTAACAAATTATACTACAGTGGACACAGGACATAGGATGCAAACTTCATTACTATCACTCAGTGTCCACAAAATAGCTCTGTCCACAAAAAACATTATGAAAGAAAGATTTGGTAGTGGCTTTGAAGGATGATTAACCATTTTTATATATTCTCCACCAAATATATATTTTAGATTTTTTAGGCAAATCCAATGTAATGTAAAATTGGGGCAAATCAAAATCAAAATCAAAATCAAAATTGTCCTAAACAGATGAACTCAAAGTCGAAGTCACAAATCAGGGCATATAGATATAGATATATACATAGATATAAATCAGGGCATGAAATCAAAGTCAAAAATCTCAACAAATTAGGGCATATAGATATAGATATATACATATATATATATATAGATATAGAGAGAGAGAGACAGAGAGAGAACTGACCTCTGCAGACAGATCTGTGAAGATGGAGAGAGACTCGGTCGTCGTCGGTCGTCGTGAGAAGCTGCACTCGTTGGGTCGCCAGGGTTGTAGAAGCTGCGTTCAATCTCGATCGTCACCGGGGTTGTAGAGCTTGGAGTTCAAGCTTTCCGTACTCCTTGGAGTTCAAGCTTCACGTGACGGCGTCTAACCTGTCAACACAGAGAACGGTGAGCTGCCCAGCGGTGGTGTGCCGGATAGACCCTCCGACGATCAAGTCAGATCACTAAAGGAAGGAGAAGGCTTTTCGAGAGAGAGAGTCTTTCAGATAGCGCAAGTTTCTTACCTCTAACGTTCATCTTCCCTTCCTATTTCTAGGCTGGCCATGCAGCTTCAGGATTGTGCGCGCACTACCTCTGTTGTCCTTCCTTGGACAAGTGGCAGTGCTCGCCTCTCACCACCTTACGCGTGTAAACGCCTAGTCCTCCAACCAGTACATGCAGAACCGCCAAAGGGTATTGACGCGTGCCAGGAGCAGATTTCCTCTCCCTCACGCCATTGGCCCAGGTGGCATGCTTAACCGGAGCATCACGACCGGTCTATCTCTTAAGAAGAATTGCCATCACAAGCCATACAACTGAGCTGTATCTTGCCGACCTATCCCTTGGGAACAAGCGAAAGTCGGATTCTCATAACCGAGTTGCACGTGACCAGTCCATCCTGGCTGACCGGTCATGAAGCGCGCCGGCCCTTCCCCGTTCTTCTTTCATCCTAAATCATATGCAGTCCGGCCACCTCGGCTGGCCGATAGGGCGCGCCGACCCTCGCCTGTCTTCAGTCTGGCCCGGGCTGCCCTTAGCTCGGTTGCTTCACGTCATCTCGCGTCCAGCCGAATGCCCTCCAGGTCATTGCTCGGCCAGACCACAATCCATGCCTGATCGGCCGGTTCCCTCGGAACATGACAAGCTGGGGGCCGCGCCAACCGAGAACACAGCTCGGCACCGTGAGATTTGACCAACCTACGTTACCGTAGCTCAGCCGTACAGTCCGGTCCAAAACTCCCCTCTCAATTGCCCCTTAATCCCATCCGAGCTAATCGTGATTGGTGTTACCACAAAGGTCGAGCTAACGGTCCCCAAGTTGCGCCAGTACCAAACCGAGCGTGATGGGCTTTGAAGCCGTCACCGGGCTATCCCATTTGGTCGGTCATCGTTTCAGTAGTCTTGTCGTGGATCGTACTACCGTACTGACAGCCGCGCTCTCAGTGCCACGTGGCTTCGCACCAGTGGTCCGTACCACCCCGCTGTCTTCCACGGGCAGAATTCAAACGGCGCAGCCGTTTGGTTTTCCCACCACTTTTCAATATACGTTTGAGGGGTCACTTTTGCCCCCCTCACTTTTTATTTCCCTCTTCAAGCCCAAACCCTAGCCTTCAAACGTCCCATACTTCCTCCTCTACTGCCATTGCTCCCCACGCCCGTTTTTGCCATTCCCGAAGCTGCAATCAAGTCTGCGAGGTTGAATCTTGCTGGACATCTAGCATTGGTAAGTTTCTCCATCCTTCTTTCATACTTTCATACTCGAGTTCTTCGAGTTCTTCATTTTTGTTATTCATTTTTTTTTTTTACCACTGTTCTTCGTGTTCTTCGCTTGGGAGCATTAGAGCTCCCCCTCCTTGTTTAGACCTCGTATACACTAGGGTGAAATGGAAACCATAGGACTGGATGGGGCCTCCGTGCCCCTATTTCTCCTAAGCTCAAATGAATGGGCCTGAACTTAGGATGAACTGGATGAACACTGGATAGAACCAGGCTAAATATTAATTTAGATCCGCAAATCGGACTTAACCGAGCTAAAACTAGTTCGTGTTCTCTCTCTTTTTTTTTGGGCCTTGACCGAGCTGAAAATAGAAGATCAGAACCGAGCTAGGAAGGCCAAATCGACCAAGTAGTCGAGCCGAGATAGGGGTCTCCCCGCCCAAACGCCAAAAACCCTTTTACCGGGCTAAGAGCTCCATGTATAAGCCGTGCAATTTATGCCGTGCTAACCCTTGGAATTATTCTTCAACAATGCAGAACAAACTAGGACCGACCAGGCCTCTTCAGCCACTGGTGACGCTCATCGTCCGAGCAAAAAAACCAAAATTTTTGACCGAGTTACAAACTAAATCACCAAATAAAACCGAGATAGATGGGGAAGTACCGATTCATGGTGAGCTCTCCCGGTGCGATGGCCGAGTTTCGTAGGGAGCACAATATTCCAGACGACGTCGTTTTAGAGCTAGCCAAGAAGGGAGATACCCCTTGGAGAGACCTAGACCGGTGCCCCTTCACGGTCGTGTCCATAGTCGAAGGAGGACTTCGCTTCCCAGTCCAACCCTTGATCTGCGAATTTTTGAGACAGACAAGACTTTGTCCAACCCAAGTGTTGAACAACACATAAAAGATAATAAACGGAGTGGTCGAGTTAAACAGGAGGCTCGGTCTCAATCTCGGCCTCACCGAAATATTTCACCAATACAGCATCAGTAAGAATAAAGGTGGGTTTTGCTGGTACCTGAAGGTAAAGAAGGGCCGAGCAAAACTTATCGAGGGCAACCCAGACAAGGAAACCAATGACGATGACTTCTTGTGGGTGTCCGGTCGGTATGAGGACACCGAAGCGCCTATACCGGGCTGGTACATTAGGAAAGATTTTGGCAGTGCTGGTGAGTAGCTCGGCAAACTGCACTACTTTCTTTCTGCGTTGATTTTCTTCTTGCCGATCTAATACTCCTTTTTGCAGATTACAAGCTCTTGGCCGACGACTACTCCCGAGCTAATCAAGAGGCCATCAGAGTTGTGCTTCGTCATCCGGCTGAGGAAAGAGAGTCTCCAAAGCTGCTCGGCTTTGAACCGACCTACAACTACAAAGCGCCGCGCACAAGCCGGGTTACCGACTTCCTCCGTGCTCCTTCCCCAGAACCTGACCCAAATCTTCCGCCGATCAGACTTGTTCATCTCACTGCTGAGCAAGAAATGGCGAAGATCCGGGCAATCAAGTCCCTGATCACCGGTGAGGAAAGTGAGTCCCAACCACCGGAAGCCACCGGGAGAACATCTTCCATTCCAGCCGGGCAAAAGGAAGGGGCTGTACTAGCTCTTGCCAGCGAACAACTAGCTGGCCGGTCGAAGAAGCGACCGAGGAAAGACCAGATAGGGCAGCACCTCGTTGATGAGGACTCCACTGAGCACGCCTCCACCGAGCTGGGGGACCAGACCGAGCAACAACCAACCGGGCCTTCCAAGAGCCCAACCTCCCCCCCGGTCTGGGCGCCTGAGATCAAGTACAAGGGCCCGGCAGTCTCTTCGGCCGACTCAGTGTATGCGGACAAGGATTATTCCCTCGGTTTCAACATGACCAAGAGGCTAGTCCTTCCTGCCGACATGAAGAAGCACGACGAGCTGTCCGACCTGAAGGTGCTTCACTCAACGGCTAAGTCGATCGTGTTGGTAAGTTCTCTACTCCTTTCTTCAAGTTATTGCACGGCTTTTGCTCAGTTTTCTGAATACTCATAATCTTTCATTTGTTTGCAAGCCGCGCAAAAGAACTATGTCGCCCATGAGCGCATGATCGCCGTGCGGCAGAGTCTGCGCGAGGCCATTGCTGAAAACAAGGCCCAAAAGGCCGAGATAGCAAAGCTTAAGGCCGTGCAGGAAGCAGTTGAGGCCGAACGAGATAACCTGAGCCAAAAGGTTGACCGAGTTGAAGCGGACAAACAGCGGGCCGTGAAGTCGACCAAAGCCCGGTATCTCGCCGAGCTGAGGAAGCTGCGCGATGCGCATAAAGAGGAGAAAGACAAGGCGGTTAGCGACGCCGAAGACAGGGGCTATGCTCAAGATGAAAAAACGTATGAACGGCAGGTGCAGGCGGCCATGGACATCTTTTTCCAGTGCGGTTGGAAAGCTGCCATGGAGAAAGTTGGCCTTGGTCAGGATGCTGACATGTTCCTACATCCGCCTGCGGCCTTCATACCGCACTATATGCAGGCCTATGCGAGCGCTGCGCAGAAGAGGATCACAGAGGAGGCCAAAAAGGAAGCCGCGAAAGAAGCCACCGCCGCGCAACAAACCGAGCAAACTTCTCCCGAAGCATCTCAGGATGTCGAAGATCAAGTAGCCGACCGGGAGGTTGTCGCGGTGGAGAACGCGGATGACGAGTTGGAAGAAGGTTTGCCCGAGCACAGTGCGGAGGTTGCCGAGCAGACTCTGGAGGTTGCCGAGCAGACGGTTGATCTGGAGTTGGACTGAAATGCCCCCTCCTATTTCCTGCTTTATTTTCGTCTCTTTTCTTTGTTTAATGTAACCGGGCTAGGCCCCTCACTTGTAATGCAATTTCCTTGATCAATGAAATTTGAACTTTTTGCTCGTATAACTCCTATTTCTGTTCGGTTGGCACGTGCAAATTTCTTCATTCAAACTTTAATGCATCACAAATGGTAGGTCGGCAATGCCGCACAATATGCCAAGCTACAATCAGAATTTCTTCAACTGAAATGCCCACGAATCAACTGGCAGCTCGGTTCTTTGATTTTTCAAAAGAACCCAAAAATTCTCATTCGGTCGAGCAAAAATTACCACTGCCGCTCTGGCTTTGACAACACTTCGAGTCTTGTTTTTGGGTGGGCAAAAATTAGCTCGGCCCTAAAAGAAGTTGGACAAATCACAATTATTTCACTTCGGCCGAGCAAAACCAGCTCGGCCTTTAGATCGGACAAAACACCAATATTCTGACATGGCCGAGCAAAATCAGCTTGGCTTAGGTGTTGGATAGAACGTCAACATTTTTTTCTTCGAGCAAAGTCAGCTCGGCTTCTTGTAAGTTGGACAAGGCACCAACATATCGCATGGCCGAGTAAAGTCAGCTCGGCTATTATCGGTTGGGCAAAACACCAACATTTCGTTTTGGCCGAGCAGAATCGGCTCGGCTTAACATTGGGCAAAACACCAATATTTCATTTAAGTTGGACATGACGCCAACATCCCAATTAGACGAGCAAAAAACCAGCTCGGCCCTTATGTGAATTGGACCATACGCCAATCATTTCATTGGACAATACACCAACTGTTTGTGCGGTCCACTTCTATACTGGCGAGAGAAAATCAGTCCGGTCCCA